TTGATGAATTAGAAGATGAGAAGGTGCAAGTATTATGTATTCAATAGGTACATTATAAACAAATGAGCGGATTCAAGACGCTGCCGTATAGAAATTTTTGGGCCACCACGATGTAATATTCTCCAATCCAGAAGGAAAGATCTTTAAGGAGGAAAAGGAAGGATTTATTTTAAGTAAAAACATATTGACTGCACGTTTGGTGCGGTGGCTGGGCAACTGGCTGCCGCGCTACGTGTCGTGGGTTCGATTGCCACACGGAGCAACACTTTGTGAGATCCATAGATTGTTGTTTCGGGTCTGGGTGTAATGTGTACGTGAACTTATATGTTTGTAAACGCACCCACGACACAGGACAAAATGCCACTGTGGGGCAAAGTTTCATAAAAAAAATTGTATTGTATTGTATTGCATCTTTTGAGAACCTTTATGTACTCTGTTGCTGTTGTTGTACGTTTGCTTTCTTTTAACGTTTCACTAATTCATAGATTATAGTAAGCGCACCATCTGTTGGTTTACTACTAGAACTATCTTCGTTCTTTTCTTATACGTCGCTAAAACTTGATTGCAATCTCATCAACAAAAATACTATAATATTATAATTGGCACTAAACCTATCGCGCCATCGCCATCTATAGGCGACAAGCATGAATTTGTATTATTTATGTACCACTATAAATGAATGGGTTATATGTTTTACTGAATAGATAAATAGTATAATTTCTGTGAGAGGAAAAACTAGGTACCAATGTCGAAGCAGTGGTACTAGTAGACAATGTGAACTAAATATGAGCCGCGGAGAACCTAACGGGTTACCCGGGCTCCGGCTCGGAGTGCAGAAGTAGGAACGGGGTGGTTTTTAGGAGTGTCTGACATTCCCTCCCGCCTCACCGAGACGAGAGAAGTCATTTGATGATTTTTTTTCCCACCTTAAAAAAAGAGATAGTTTAGGAGTGGTGGGGTGGTTTAAGATTTTGAATTTTTTCCCACCTTAAAAAAAGGGATAGTTTAGGAGTGGTGGGGTGGTTTAAGATTTTGAACCAGACAGTTATACACAATTTTTTACTAATATTAGTAGCTTTCAGCATGCAGTTTCGTGTGCATTGAATTTTGAAGATTGGTATCGAATGAGTCCCAGTCCTTAAAGAATATGAAAGTGTGAGAAAGACATGCTTCGGCACGACGGCCGGCTCCACCGGAGTAATGCCACGGCGTCACAGAAAACTGACGTGAAACAAAGTGCGTTGTGTTTCGTCTCTCCCACAGTCATCAAATTCCTAATCCCCAAAAGGCCGGCAACGCACTTATAACGCTTTTGGTGTTCCGGGTGTCCACGGGTGGCTTCAATTGCTTACCATGAGGTGATCCATCTGCTCATTTAATAAAACAAAGTACCTTGAACAAACAGTGTTTTTGCCTTAAAAACATGTCTATGTGGAAAGATTTTTTCGAATTCGTCCTCTAGTTGTTTACACAATGCAAACAAACAAAAAACCATCAAGTTTTACCTCCTTATAATTATTAGTATTGATTACGAATTCTTACAACATACTTTCAACGAATCGTGATTTATTAATAGAAGGCCGGTACAGCCCCGAACCCAATCTTATTGACATTAAACTAGACTTAAGATCATTTATTTGCACAGTAAATGCTAAAATTCTCACTTGAACGATATTTTTTGTCAGTACTCCGCGATGTTCCAAATCAATATAAACGAATGTATTAGCACTATTCTTTAGTGTTGTTCAAATTGTCTACCAATCAAAATGGCTCGTCTCGTGGTCTATGTGTTGGCTGTACTAGTCTTAGTTAATTTCTTCAGTGTGGAAGCAGGTAATGTTTTGTATTATGTAATTATTTTTGGCTTCAAGGAAATTGCCTTTTTTGAAAGGGGAAAATTATTCAATTACTTCTCCCACCTTGGGTGAGGCGAGAGGAAGTGTTCCGTTCTTACTGATTAAAACTCGCCCCGTTCCTACACCTCAATAAGCCGGAGCCCCGTCAACCCGATAACGTCGCATCCACAGCTCCAGGGCATTGCCCTGCACTAGGATTATCACATATGTCGTGCGTTCTTTTACAAATTTTAATATAAAACTTCACATAAACGTCATAAACAAAACCGAAATGACTATTTGTAGATCACACAAATAATTATTCCGTATGTGAATAGACTGCGACATGTCACCCAGCGGGTGCGCCATTTCTCTGTCCTGTGGCGCCAACGGTGCAGTTGATGTGAACAACTCCGTGTACATATTTTGAAATTGACATACTAATGTTGTATTTTTAATTCGTAGTTACTCTGCTAGTTATAGCTAAACTGCCTCGTGTGAATTAATTTATTATACCTATCCTTATTAATTTTGCAATGTTATTTTATTAATCGTTTAATTATAATTAATATTGTTGTTTTGGCTTCATGAAAACGAATATCTTTTATAGTCAGATGTGTGAAGAATAGATGTGCGAAAGACATTAAGGGATTTATACTTTTTCTTTTATACAGAGTGAAAACAAAAAGAAATTGTTTACAATTTTCATCGTTTTTATTTTCGTGTTTTTCGTTTTAGTTGTTTTTTTTTTGTTGATTGAATTCCTTACTTTTATAAAAATAAGACTTGTTTTACAATATACCATCATCTATCTTCGTTTTTCGGGAGCGTTCCTTTTACACCCTGTATTTCACCAAAGCTGGAGAGTGTGTTTATTGGTTTGGTTGAACGCGCTTACATAACTCTGGAACTACTTATACTATTTTTGTGTCTTCTTCTTCGTAGTCGTTTTCTTCATTACTGAAGGTCGTGTCTAGTCTGGTGCACGCGTCACTTGATGCACAACCCTCCTCCAAACGCCCCTGTCTTCTGCGGTCTTTATGGCTTGTGGAACTGTCAGGCCGATTAGGATTTTTACAGCATCCAACCACCGGGTAGGTGAGCGACCACGAGGTCTTTTCCCGATAGGATACTAGCTTTTGCCAGCGGTTTTGCCCATGGTATTAAAAGTGGTTTTTTTTTAACTATGCTGTTATTCGAAATAAGCTACCCTTGTTCCACATGTCGACCCCTTCAGCTGCTTTGACGTGGTTCAGTAGGTAATAAATACGTAAATGCCCTCACAAACATTCTCATTTATTAATGTTAATAAGACAATAGGAGCTAAGTAACGGGTGAAACTGAGTCTTATCATCTCGTTTAATATTTTAAATGATGATGTGTCCTTTGTAATTGGTCGCGCCTATACAACCTCATAGAAATGACACTGACTATGTTAATGCTGGCCGGTTACAATTTTTTTCTTTAACTTATGGCCAAAGAACGTCATGCAAATGGTTGCTATATTTTTAATCTAATTGAATTAATATCACTGTAAAAGTTATTAGCATCGCGCCTTTTATCCCCGAGGAGGTAGGCAGAGGTGCACATTATGCCACTGTACAATGTAACACACACTTTTCACTATTTATGTTAAAAGTCCCATGTAATAGGGGGTGAGCCTATTGCCATATACCGGGCACAATTCCAGACTCCGTGCTACTGCTGAGATTTTTTTTAAATCCCAGTTATACTTTGCCCTACCCGGGAATCGAACCCGAGACCCTCTCACTTGCGACCACTCGGCCAAAGAGGCAGTGTAAAAGTTATTGAAAAGTTAACTACCATCTTTTATTAAACCTCATGTCCTGGACAGTAATATATTTGCAAAAACAAAAATCACAATTTAACAAACTCATATATCTCATTTCAGCTCCTCACAACTTTCGTCCCGGACCTGTTGCATTTGGAGGTCCAAACCGCAGGCCGCCGGTGAACATCAGCATCTCCAAGAGTAAATCCATTAGCATCAGCTCTGGTGGAAGACCAGGATCATCTGGCGCTCAGTCAAGTGCCAGCTCTTTTGCCCGAGGAGGTTAGAAACAGCTAGAAAATACTCGTGGACATGCCTTGTATCTGAAATAAAGGACTTTCTTTTTTGATAATTATATTTTTTTGTAATAACTGTTGTTTATTTTTTTTTGTTTTCTCTGTCAATCCTATAAGTTGCTCTTAATTTTTTATTTAGAAGGAAACGTATGCTAACTAGAGGTAAATAAATATAAGGAAAGAAAATCATGACAATTGTATTTTCTTTAATTTCAATATGTGTTTTTTCACAAACTCAAACTCAAACTCAAAAGCATTTATTTCAATTAAACCTTAATTTGGTACTTTTGAAACGTCAACAAATATGAAATAAATAATAGTCTGTCAGTCTGTCTGTCAGTGAAGCTAGGCGCTCGTTCCAAAATGTCGATTCGAGTGAAGAAGAACGAGCAAGAAACTCCATTCGTTACTCTTTTAAAAAATAGTCTGTTTTACATTGCTCTGATACATATTCCAATATTGTACACACATGTGAGAATAATGTAAAGACATACTTGACGCAACATACAAATAACAGAACGTACTAAAATAAAAAAAAATAAATAAAAAAGCAAAACCAAGAGAAAACAAATATCTTAAGTCTGACATGGTCCTCACATATGTATACTGACAATCCATATAAAATAGTGCTTCTATACAAGAAAAAAATAAATAAACTCTTGTTTAAATAAAGAAAGAAATGCTCGATGCCACAAGAAAAATAGATTGCCTTCATCGGAATCAAAGTATTAAATTACCTATTATCGTAATCTGAACTAGGTACTGACTACATTTGAGTATTGTCCAGTGGAGCCGAACCAACACGCTGCCAAGTATTCCTATCCCCAAGATAATCAATCACTCTGCAGTAAGCTTGTTTACACAATTCGCGCTTGATATATGTTTTAAATTTCATTCTTTCATTAAGATCTAGTATGCTACTTGGTATTTTATTATAACATTTAACACATAACCCCATGAAGGATTTCTGTACCTTGGACAGTCTGAATTGCAGTACAGCTAACTTATTCTTGCCTCTAGTATTAAGATTGTGTCTATCGCTTCTTTTTTCGAACAATTGCCTATATTTTCTTACATACATTATATTTTCATATATGTATTGATAGGGCACCGTTAAGATATTTAGATCATCAATTAAATGAACCAGACCATGTGTTATAAACAAAATCTACTGAATACCGTTGGTTCTATTTATATACTATAGTCTGGTTTAAATGAAAACAGTGGCGTGTGAGCTTAGTATTAACGTTTCAGTATTCCTGAAACAAGGGAACTAGCAACATGGCTCGTTTTATACTGTGTTTGGTAGCTGTGGTACTTGTGGTCAATTTCTTTAGTGTTGATGCATGTAAGTATGTACATAACCATTTTTTTGGGAATATCATCGTATGACTGCTCCCGCCTGGGTGAGGCAGGAGGGAGTGTCAGACTTTTACTGACTAAAAACCACCCCGTTCCTACTACTACACTTCGAGCCGGAGCCCCGGTAACCCGTTGAGTCCTCCGCGGCCCCGTATCGGCATCAGCCCTATTGGGTCTCCATGGATGTCTGATGGCTCTTTGAGGAGCGCGCGGAACGCGACGCGCCGTACGTTCGGGTGTAGTTCTGGTCGGGCGGCAAGCTACCCAGTGCCTTTAGCCAAACGACACTTTAGCGCTTGTCTACAGAGAGAGTAGAAATCAAAATGTGTGGGGATGAAATTGACAAGTGTCAAAATTTACCTCAATTCCATATAATTTGGTTTTCTACTCTACAAGTAGATAAGCGCTAAATTGCATTTGGCTACAACTGCAGGCTCGCCATCCGCAGGGCCGTGCATGTATGCACTTATGTATTTATTTTATGTGTGTACCTGAATGAACTAAACTATCAATGAGATCTAACCTCACAAGTAAGGGGTTACCTACTTGTGCTCTGTTAGTTTGGTGATGACCTAAATGTCTATGTTAATATAATAACTATCGTGTGACATACTAAATTAACTAAAAATCACGAGTTACTCCCATGAATATATTGAGAAAAGCTCTACTAGTTTCGAGCCACAGAGGGACTCTTCCTCATGAGCAGCGTGCGCGATCGCAGCTACGTAGACTGCGCGACCTCGATTCCTTCTATAACTCGACGCTAGTTCAGCTTTTCTCAGTATCGTGGATCTCAGGACGTGAGTCAATCGTTATTTTTACTTAATGTTTTGTATTAAAGAAAATGTTTTATTTTTTATAGCTCGACCTGGAAGTCCCCTTGCATTTCATGACCTTGGTATAGGAAAAAAGCGCCCTTCTGTCGCAAGTGAACCAAATGTCAACCATGAAGAAATTCCTAAAAACAGCAAACTCCTAATGGGAGAAGTATTTAAGTATAATTATTAGTCGCCGAGCGGTCATCGGTGACCACTCTCCATTCACTTCGTTACAGACCTTATTTCCTATGTTTAGAGACTACTTTTGTGTGAACAAATTTTGTAATCTTTTCTTAATAGAAAATTCGTACATATTCGTTTAATCATCTATTTTACAATAAAAATAGTAATTCAGAGTGTGTGTTTTATTTTATAAATAACCTGACTGTTCGCTTAGATATTAAAAGGTATGAAAGTAAATCAGTAGCGAAATGGCAAACAACTAGCGCAACCGAGGGCTGGGCTGGTTGCCATTGCAGCGGTAAGTCCTCTCTTTGAGGACTGGCTTAAAAGACGTTGTCGTCCTCACCTACCGCCTGACGCAGGTGCATACCGGACACGGGAGTGTCGGAAGGTTTTTTTTTAAGGGGGGAAAATCATCGAATGACTGCTCCCGCCTGGGTAAGGCGGGAGGTAGAGTCAGACTCTTACTGACTAAAAACCACCCCGTCCCTACGACTACACATCGAGCCGGAGCCCTGGTAACCCGTTAGGTACTCCGCGACTCGGATTGGGCGGGAAGAAACGCCCGGGTGTTGTCAACTTGTCACTGCGAGGACCACCCAGAGGACACGGTGGAGAATACGGTGGCGTGTGCCCAGCGTGGAATCAGGAGGAAAGAGTAGGCACATATGCACATTGTGCTGTAAATTCACAATTTTTTTATAAATTTTCTTAATGACTTCTAGCTTCTACCCGCAAAACTTCTAAATCCCCGAGCGGGCACCGGGGACCACCATGCTCCACTCACTCCATTATAGGCCTTATTTTCGATATTTAGCGGCTACTTTCTATAAACAAATGTCGTGGAATTTTCGTAATCGTGGTTTTAGTGAAGGCACACTATCGTATTTTCTCGTTACCGTAGGATCAAAAAATCATTGGATATAATGTATTCTGTGTCCGTCTCCCGGTTCTAAGCTATCCTAATCGATTCAACCGTTCTTCAGTTATACATAGTGTAACTAACACGACCTTTTTTATTATAATTTTGGAAGTCTCAGTCTCAGTGATCATTACTGAGAATTTCATATTCAGATTACCAACGATGCAGTCTATCTAAAATTATTTCTCTCAGTAATGCTGTATGATCAAATAATATTGAATTCAATTCCAAGTTCTGTCTGTTCTTGAACTGAGAAATTGAATATTGAATAACCCTAATAGTCACACTATTTGCATACACTTCTGAAAGTATAATTTGTGACAATCATGACACCTACCAAAGAAAGTTGTAATTACTAAGACTTCTAATGGTGTTACCAGACCACCTCAATCGATGACATCGCGTATGGTGTAGCATATGGTAGGATGGTTAAGCCGACGATGTCGATCGACAGTTTCTGCCAGACCACTCTTTTAAAAATAGTGGCATCCAGAGAATATCATAATATGTAGTACAAGTAAAATTGTTCTGGCCAACAACATGCGCCTTCTTGTGAATACATTCCGAAAAAAATGTTGGAGTTTAGCTGAAATCAATCGATCAACATCAACCGATGCTATAGACGAGCCATCGATCGATTGGATAGTCTACCAGTATCCGTGCAACAATTAAAGCTATCGATATCGATTGATAGCATCGATATTGTACACGTTACGTTCACAATTCACTTAGTGTCTGTAATGATTATTTAAAAATGTTAATATTTACAATGAAAAGAAGATAATCCTGCAAGTAAATATTTACCTGATTTACATACCAAGAATAAGTACTTGGTGATACCCAGGTTTATAGTTAGATGAACGAGTAGGTAATATACCTATTACCTTCCAATACAAACATAGGTATAGGGAAACCACTCCGAACAAATCAATATTTGTTAGCACATGACATAATACTAGGTTAGAATTATAATTTCGCTGATTTTGTCGAGTACTTTTCTGTAGAATTTGTATGCAGTATAAATATTATGACCGGAGTGCGAATTGTCTCACAGTTACCATATGCGATATTTATATTTTCAATTTACTAGTAGCCTTTACACGAATATACTATTCTTCGAAGGCGGGGCTTTGTTATATCCTTCTAAAGAACATATAAATGTCACGAATTCACGAATTTGGTTCAGAACAAGACTGATTTTTGCACAAGATGGGGAAAACTATAGTTCTTGTTTTGGCTCTTTCTGTTTTCGCTCAAGCTGCTACTATTAGAGATGGAGGTACAGATTATTTGCTCTTATTATGATCATATGAAATAAACTGAAACTGTTAATTTGTGAATATTACATCGCATAAAAAATTTTAAGGACGCGCTGCCAAAATATAAATAATTTATGAGTAAAATATTCACCTATTTTTTTTTCTCTTACTTACAGATCACGACCACACCCGTGTAGCACGTTCTCCATGCAGTACTTGTGGCCCACATGGACCTCCCCCACCACCGCCTCCATTCGGTCCACCGCCACCGTTCAGACCTAGATACTTCCACACTGCTCAGTGGGCTGGTTTGGCTGCCGATGGAGCTCAACGAGGAGTCTTCAGTGGCGCAGCTGCAGCCGCTGATGATGCCAGCCAAGCCGCTGGTGAAGCATTCTCTTTGGCTTCTAGTGGAGCAGCTCACGGTTTGGGACTTGATGATCAGTCCAACGAACAGTCTGCTCAATTATCTGGTGGAATAGGTATCGGGGTGCAATCAGCAAGAGGCTACGGTGCTGGTAGCTCCACATCTGGTTCAAGTGATTCCAGCTCCAAGTCATTTAACTCCGGTTTCCAGTCTTCAGCTGGATCTAAATCTGGAAGCTCTAGTGGATTTAGTGGACAGGCATCTGCTGATTCTAATACCCAGTCTTCTGGTGATTTCGGTAAACAATCTTCTGCTGGATCAAACTCTCAATCTTCAAGCAGTTACGGAGGCCAATCTTCTGGTGGCTACGGCGGCCACTCATCAGAAAGTTATGGTAGTCACTCATCAGGAGGATATGGGGGTCACTCATCAGGAGGTTATGGTGGTCATTCGTCTGGTGGCTACGGTGGTCACTCTTCTGGTGGTTACGGTGGTCACTCTTCTGGAGGATATGGTGGCCAATCATCCGGCTATGGAGTCAAATCTTCATCTAGTTCTAGCTCCCAATCCTCAAATAGCTTCGGGAACTCTGCGGGAGGCTATGGTGGAAACTCTAATGATCAAGCTTCAGGGAACTTTGGCGGTCAGTCAGCTGGTTACAATGGCCAATCTTCAGGTGGATTTGGAGGGCAGTCGTCTAATGGCTTTGCTAACCAGGGTGGCGGTGTAAACGGCCAATCAGCACATGGTGAGAAGAAATTTAACTACAAAGAGTCTCACTACTCGTACCAAAGTGGTGGAAACAAAAACGCTGGCTTTGAATCCCAATCACAAGGCAGAGGATTCAGCGACGAACAGCAATCAGCAAGCAATGGTGGTTTCGATGGCAGTGTAGGCGGAAAATTGGAAGCCCATCGAGTTGAACAAGTAGGCAGCCAAAATGGTGGATCTTTTGGAAATGGGCAATCTTCTGGACGTTTTGATGCTTCTAGTGCTAGTTCCAGTGGAAGTTCAAGCTCTGGAGGAAGTGGAGGTTACGGCGAGGGTGCAGGAATTTCTGCTGGTCTCGGTGTTGGTGGTTCTGCTGGATTAGGAATTGGAGGATCCACTGGATTAGGTGTCAGCGGTTCTGATAGTTACGGCGCTGGTGGATCAAGCGGCTATGGTTCTGGTTATTCTGGCTCTCAATCAGCTCTTAAGGGAGCTCTTGAACTTGCCAACCAGGGGCTACAGACGGCAGCGCAACAGCCGGCTGGATGCAGCACTTGTGGTAAAAGCAATTACGCTTTAAGTAATGCTAAGAGCAGAAATGGCAATGCCATTGCCCTTTCCGTTAGCGGTTAAATTTTAAAGTACCTGATCTTATGCTCCTACGAATAATGGTTTAAAGAATTGTCTTGTATATTGTGATTGTAATTAAGTTGTTTATGTTATTGTTTGAGATTTCTTGTAAATAATTTTAACAATTACGATATTATTTTAATAAAATTTTAATTCATTATATAAAATTTTACTATTTATTTTGTCCTTGCCTATTGTTTCCATTAGTTTCTTTGAAAATTTACACGTCTAACAATCTGCTGAATTAAACAGTCACTGATATATTGTTTTCTAGCAAACAGTTACACAGTAACGAAATTTCCTTATCAATAAGATTATTCTATTGTACTATTCTATATAAATGAGATTTTAAGCTCATATAATAAATGTGATGAGTTTGTAAAAAATAATAAAATATACAATGTGGGTTTGTTGCCCTGGCAGGTGGCCATAAATAGGGTAGTTTCCTAAATTTTATTTTAATGTCCGTCTGGTACATTAATTTAAAACTTTAGACACGTATTTTTTCTTTTGTCACAAAATTAAATACTTCCGAAGATATATTAATTGGAAATATCGTGTGACGTTACATTTTGCGGCACGTTATGACGTAACGACCTCTCACTCTAAAAATTAGCGCTATTTTATCTAAATATTGCAACTTAATACGAGAAAATGAAAAAATACGTGTCTAATATTTTTTCACTATCTAACTGACGGACTAATTAGTTATTGTTATTTTTTTTATTTTGATACCCTGGAAACCAACCAATTCTAATCCAGTTAGGGAATGAATAGCCTTACTGTTGTACTCGTAAAATTTAATAATTACTTAAACGTAGTTAAACATTTCAACGCGAAGGTGGGCACACGGAACGGCGAAGAGCTGAGAATGGGGCCATTTGGGTATGGGCAGCGAAACCGTCGGGGCCAGCGGCTGGTCGACTTTATGGAGAGGGAGAGACTCTTTATAATGAACTCCTTCTTCCGAAAACGACCAGCTAAGAGGTGGACGTGGATAAGTCCCGATGGTTACACCAAAAATGAGATCGACTTCATCATGGCGACCGACAAGCGCATATTAAGTGATGTCTCTGTGATAGCTAAGGTGAAAACCGGCAGCGATCACCGTATTGTCAGAGGCACACTGAATATCAATGTCAAGCTGGAGAGGTCACGCCTGGTGAGGTCCACACTCCGTCCTGGTCGCGCCCAGGTCCAGAACCCCGAACAGTTCCAGCTCCAACTGCATAATCGCTTCCAGTGCCTGGCTGAGTGTGAAACGATTGACGAGTTAAATAATGGGTTAGTGGAAACTGTCCAAGCGGTGAGCTCAGAGTTTTTCAAAAACCCACGCCGAAATAGACCTCAAAAGCTCTCGAAAGAAACACTTAAATTATTGAAAGACCGACACGAGATGAGGCTGCAGTCTTCAGTTGACATGTCTGGATATGGCAAACTTAATAGGCGAATTTCAAAGTCTATGCGACGCGACCTGCGTGCATATAACGCCGCACGAGTCAGGGATGCCATAGAGCGAAATCAGGGTGCAAAAGTATTCGCAAGGAGTTCGTCGGTTGGGCAAAGCCAAATGACGAAACTGAAGACCGAAAATGGCAGCATCGTTTCGTCGAAGCCAGAGATTCTGAGAGAGCTTGAAAGGTTCTACGGACAGTTATACACCTCGACACGGCAACCCATTGTCGGTACAGCTCGGGATCCAAGAGCTAAACTGACACGGCACTATACCGAGGATATCCCAGACATCAGCCTGTATGAGATTAGGATGGCTCTCAGACAGCTCAAAAATAACAAGGCACCGGGTGATGACGGAATCACAACAGAACTTCTGCGAGCGGGTGGAAAACCGATACTTTTAGTCCTCCAGAAACTATTCAATTCCGTCATTCTCGAAGGAGCTACGCCGAAAGCATGGCAAGAGAGTGTAGTGGTTTTGTTCTTTAAGAAGGGTGACAACTCCTTGTTGAAGAACTATAGACCCATCTCGCTTCTGAGCCATGTATATAAGCTGTTCTCTAGGGTCATCACGAACCGTCTCGAACGCAGATTTGATGACTTCCAGCCTCCCGAACAAGCCGGGTTCCGGAAAGGCTTTAGCACCATAGACCACATTCATACGCTGCGGCAAGTTATACAGAAGACTGAGGAGTATAACTTGCCACTATGCTTGGCGTTCGTGGACTATGAAAAAGCCTTTGATTCGATCGAGACCTGGGCGGTGCTGCAGTCTCTCCAGCGATGCCATATCGACTACAGATATATCGAGGTGCTAAAGTGTTTGTATAGAAACGCCACTATGCGCATCCGACTCCAGGAAGATAGCACGGAACCAATCCAATTGCAGAAAGGCGTGAGACAGGGAGACGTGATTTCTCCGAAACTGTTCACCAACGCATTGGAGGACGTTTTCAAGCTTTTAAACTGGAGTGGACTGGGTATCAATATCAATGGCGAATACATCACACACCTCCGCTTCGCCGATGATGTAGTCATCATGGCGGAATCGCTGGAGGATCTGAACACCATGCTCAGCGACCTCAATATCGTCTCCCAACAGGTGGGTCTTAAAATGAACATGGACAAGACCAAAATCATGTCAAACGTCCATGTTGCACCTGTACCGGTCATCGTTGGGAACGATATCCTCGAAGTTGTAGACCACTATACATACTTAGGGCAGATTATACAGCTAGGTAGGTCCAATTTCGACAAAGAGGTCGCCCGAAGAATCCAACTTGGATGGGCAGCGTTCGGGAAGTTACGCGAAATCTTCTCATCGAAAATCCCTCAGTGCCTAAAGACCAGGATGTTCAACCAGTGTGTGTTGCCGGTGATGACGTATGGTACCGAGACGTGGTCCCTGACCTCTGGCCTTCTGGAGAAGCTCAAAGTCGCTCAGCGTGCGATGGAGAGAGCTATGCTCGGGGTTTCTTTGCGCGACAAAGTCCGAAATATGGAGATTCGCCAAAGAACAAGAGTTACCGACATAGCTCACAAAATCTGCAGACTGAAGTGGCAATGGGCAGGCCACGTCGCTCGAAGGACTGACGGCAGATGGGCCAGGAAAGTCCTTGAGTGGAGACCACGGACCGGAAGACGAAGCGTGGGCAGACCTCCCGCTAGGTGGACCGACGACATCGCCAGAGTTGCGGGGAGCCAGTGGATGCGGGTGGCGAGTTGTCGTTCGACGTGGAGGGCTAAGGGGGAGGCCTTTGTCCAGCAGTGGACGTCTTCCGGCTGTTGATGATGATGATGATGAGTTAAACATTAATTAGCAACGATTTTGTTCTGGATTAAGTAACTATCTACGAGTGGTCATGTCAAACAAACAACAAACACAGGTGAGCCTCCTTTAGATGTCTGACCGAACTAATGACTCCTTATATCATGGCGTTACTATCGTTACTTGCAACTGCAGCTGGATCCCAATAGATGGCAGTGTATTGCCCGGCATTTAAATCTCCGAAATAATTGTAGATTTAAACGGTACGTCGCTAGTAGCAACAAAACGACAATTCTTCACTTGTATTTGTAATCTTCTATATATATAAAAGAAAGTCGTGTTAGTTACACCACTTATAACTAGAAGAAAGAAGAAAGAAAGAAAAACCATTTATTCTTGCGCAAAACACACTTAACATAACCAAAACTTTGATTCAACAAAATTGGCAAAGAAACATTTAACAAAATTGGCTCACCCCCTATTACATGGGAATCGTAACATACATAGTGAAAAGTGGGTGCTACATTGTACAATTGGCATTAAACTGTCAAACACCGCGAGGACACCGGTGACCGCAACCTATTGTTCTTTAATTGTGTCTATAATGACGGTACTCAAAGGGTTGAGTGCCGTAATGTGCACCTCTACCTATCCCTTCGGGGATAAAAGGTGTGATGTTATATATGTTGTGTGCTGTGCCCGTGCATCAATCCATAATGAGGGGTGGAATCTAAGGCTATGCTAGACAATTTCATTTCCATAGGTATTAAGTACCATGTTACTTGAATCAAACAGTCGTAATAGTAACACTTACTAAGCATCTATATATCAAAATAAAAAAAATACTTTTAGTATGTCGAATATAACATCACACCTTTTATCCCCGAACCGTAGGCAGAGGTGCACATTATGCCACTGTACAATGTAACACCCACTTTTCACTATTTATGTTATGAGTCCCATGTAATAGGGTGTGAGCCTATTGCCATATACCGGGCACAGTTCCAGACTCCGTGCTACCACTGAGATTTTTTTTTAAAACCCTGTAATACTTTGCCCGACCCGGGAATCGAACCCGAGACCCCTTGCCCGGTAGTCGCACTTGCGACCACTCGGCCAACGAGGCAGTATAACATAACAATATTTCATCATATCTCGCCGGTAAATTCGGCATGCAAATATTTTAACAAAATTAAATCACAATTTTCAAATATAATTCTAAGTTAGAACAAACAATCAAAACACAACCCTTCCCAATGATTCCAAATTAAAACAGGACAATCTAAGTTACAATTTCCAATAATCAATAATGACTCCGATTCAAAATAAAAAATGAAACTACAATGTTGTTGAACAGGTATCAAGAATTGAAAAGCGGAGAAATAGAAATAATTAGGTAATAAATTAAATTCTCAATCCAGAGTTATTAAATTAAAAATGACAAAAATTTCAATGAATGAATTACAATGTCAATAAAGTATTAACAATGTCAATAAATTACAAAAAAAAACCTATAAATTCAAATGTTAGGTAATATGTATGTATATGCAAAATCGGAGCATTGAATCCGGGACCCTTACTAGGCAGTTACACTTGCGACCAACGATAAACGAGACAATCCAATAAGCTTCACTACATATTATAAAACAAAGTCGCTATCCGCCGTCTGTCTGTCCCTATGTATGCTTAGATCTTTAAAACTACGCAACGGATTTTGATGCGGTTTTTAATAGATAGCGTGATTCTTAAGAAAGGTTTATATGTATAATACATACATGCATATTACACCCGTGCGAAGCCGGGGTGGATCGCTAGTTATATAATAATGGCTAAAAAGCACCAACAAGGATATTCCAATATTACTGAAAATTTATTTGAAGGCAAACTGCATCCATAAAAATTTAATAATACCTAATCATGAAAATTGAACCAAATCACAGTTACGTCATCTAAACCACACGTGAATGGAAACTTACAAACAAAGATGTTAGGATACACTAACGTTCGTTACAAACTATCAAACTGGTAATTTTTTTATGGCATAAGCCGGTATACGAGCAGACGGATCACCTGATGGTAAGCAATCGGCGTCGCCCATGGACACCTGGAACACCAGAGGCGTTACAAGTGCGTTACCGGCCTTTTGGGGATTAGGTGTTTGAGGATCGTTGGGGATTCAGGGATTGGGGAGATTGCGGAAGGGGAGGGTAATTGGGCCTCCGGTAACCTCACTCACACGACGAAATACAACGCAAGCGTTGCTTCACGTCAGTTTTCTGTGAGGCCGTGGTATCACTCCGGTCGAGCCGGCCCATTCGTGCCGAAGCATGGCTCTCCCACACTTAGCTATGAATTATGTTTATCGATATGCCTCATCTTATCTTAGGCACTAATATTGTAAATTTAAAAGTTTGTGAGTTTGTGACTGAAGAGATTGGGAAGAATTTTGGAACACCAATAGATTATGATCTGGAATAACACATAGGTTACTTTTTATCCCACGGAAAGGCGGGCGAAGCCGCGAGCAGAAGCTAGTAGTCATATAAACACAAAAGGCATGTTTATGTCCGTAACATAATTCATTAAATACTTTAAGGAACACCAAGCATGATACCAAGTTGAGAATTACGAGGATTAAAATGAGGTAGATTATAGGAACCAAAAATTACCTACGGCCTTGAATAATTCAAATTACGGCGGAGTACAATACATTTTACATCGCCCCAATCCTGCAGATGTCATGAAAACCGACTGAGGCAATAGGCTAACACATTTGACAGAGACAGGGCTCTCTGATAATTCTCAATCTTTTAAGATGCTTCTCTTAAGCATCAGGAAAACGTCGCGGAGATCCTAACGGGTTACCAGGGCTCCGGCTCGACGTGCAAGAGAAGAAACGGGTGGTTTTTAGTCAGTAAGAGTCTGACACTCCCTCCCGCCTCACCCAGGCGGGAGCAGTCATTCGATGATTTTTCCCCCTTAAAAAAATGCATCAAGATAATGCACATGGTCCATCAGTGGACTGTCACAAGCAGTTTATGTTGTACAGAACCCAGTTTCCAAACTAAATCATCAAGTTTCACTTATCGTGTATAAACATCCTAAACCAAACACAACAGGGATTCACCCAAACCAGGTTTTCGCACCAACTAGATCGTTGTCACAATCAATTAAGGATAAGTTGTGAAAATGAGTTTTCTTGGTAATATTGGAAGCATGTATTTGATATTTACCTACTGAGCATATAAAGATCTGGTATAAGGAACATAGTTCAGAGTAAAAAGATAAAATGTGGCGAACAGGTGTATTGTTAGTGGCTATTGTTTTCATAGAGTTTGCTGCTGCTGATGTCAAACGTAAGTTTTATAATAAATACATAATATTTACTTCATCTCTGTTTGGTAAACAATTACGTTCAGTCGCGGCGTTCTCTATGATGCAATATTTCTGACAATTACTGGGTAAACTTATATCTACTTAAATCCATTTCATAATCAGTACTGGAGTAGGATTTAAGAATATGTCTTAAATATTGTTCTTATATGAGTCCATTATTATTGATATCTATACTAAAGACCTACTCATTACTCGTATAAATATTTCTTTTGCATTATATCCACCCAGAGGTTGTCTGGTAGAAATCACTGTATTATATTTTTATTTATGTTTGTCATTTCCTTTTCTGTATGAACTATATTATTAATGGTGTACAATAAAGTTTATTATATTCTATTCTATTCATTACGTAATTAGGACCCAAATATTTAATATAGTAACTGAAGAGTTTGTTTCAGTGTGAGTTTGTTCGAGTTTGAAGTTGTTATACTTAACTGATCAAAACCTATAATAAATTCCTAAGTTCCTATTCTCGGATAAACTGTTCTAAATTAAAACCTTTTATGATTCCAGCAACAGACACCACTCTCATAAATCGGCTGAAGCGCTCTCCGAACTCATGTGACTACGACTACAGGCCGAGGTACTGGCCTCCACCACCGCCACCCCCACCGCCACCTCCACCACCGTACTGGCCACCACCACCACCTCCAGGGCCACTACCATTCTGGCCCCACCGTCATCATCACCATGACCGTTTCGAAGATTTCACTGACGATGCACCAAAAGACCAGCCATGTTCCACGTGCCAAGGAGATGGAATTTCATCAGCTTTGAGTAACGCTAAAAGTAAAAATGGAGATGCAATTGCTATAGCTATCGCTAAGGCTAGTCCTAGCCCGAAACCTTGAACGAAGAGTATTCTTATTTTATGGGTGGTCACAGATCAGCGCGGGTTATATTCAGCTCTTAGACAACGAGAATGTAGTTAGTTAGATTTGTACCTATTTCGACTTGATCCGAGATGAAAAGACGCGACACAATTAGATAGAATTTTGACATGAGCTCCATACAAAATGTGTCAAAATTCTATCTCTAGTAAGCAAATCTACACATAGATAGGTTATAGAAACTGGACGTTAGATATCACATTATTAAGTAAGTTTGTTAATTTCGTGCTTATTTGTGTCAATCCTAAAAAGAAACATTATTAATAAAAGTCTGTTTATGTATTAAGTGTTATCTAATAGTAATTACAAATAATTTATGCAAGAGACCTGAGATTCTATGTTAATACGTATCGGCGGAGAAAAATTGATTCTCAGATAAAAACAACACTAAATAGGTATCTTAAGAGTTATTGTGACCAAATAGACATTAAAATCTAGACCAGTTTTCTAGGTTGAATAATTAAGTAGTTGCCTATAATGATTATATGTTGGTAATAAAAAATCCGAGATTTTTTTTATTTTTTTTTTATTATCTTTATTTATTTACAGGACTTTTATCTGAAGACATGTCAGTCCTATTGATACAAATCAAGAAACCCTTAAACTAGTTGACTTAAAAGTAATAATACAAGCAAAAGCAAAAAAAAAAAAAAAAAACACAAAAAACACAAAAAACACAAAAACACAAAAAACACAAAAAAACACAAAAAACAAAAAACACAAAAAAAACACAAAAAAACAAAACAACAAAACACAAAAAAACAAAACAAAAAAAAACAACAAAACAAAAAAAATCCGAGATCATTGTGATCAGAATAAAGTTAATAGTGTAAATGCTTTTTTTATTTTTATTTAAGAGAGTGTGATATACGCCACCATTTCTAAATAATTATGTTAATATAATCAAATCAAATAGTATAAAAATAATGGCCTACCAAGTATTTGCATATACGGTAGCTTTATAATTATTTCGATTTAAAGAACAGAAATAAATTCAATCTTTCAAATCAATAGACTTTAACGGGATTTCTGTGCCAATGATTTACTTGGGTTATAACTTGGGTTAACAATAGGCTCACCCCCTATTACATGGGACTCATAACATAAATAGTGAAAAGTGGGTGTTACATTGTACAGTGGCATTAAGTGCCGTAATGTGCACCTCTGCCTACCCCTTCGGGGATAAAAGGCGTGATGTTATGTTATGTTATGAAATTCTTGTTTACCATATCGAGCAAATAGAGGCTTCCCTAGATGTCTGACTGACACTTTTTATCTTGTTGACTTCCAAATGTGATTATTATTGGTTTCATCATCATCAACAGCCTATAAATGCCCACTGCTGAGCAAAGACTCTTCTCACATGGAGAAGGTTTGAGCATTAATCACCACGCTTACGCAATGCGGGTTGGCGATTACAAACGTATAATTAGAAATTATAAGCCCAAGTTTCCTCACGAGATTTTCCGTCACCGTTTGTCAGTGGTGTCTAGATAATCTTAGAAAATAAATATAACTTTGAAAAAGTCACATTGGGACATGCCATTGGTAGGTTTCGAACCTGCACCCTCATACATGAGAAGCAGGCGTCTTACACCTCCGGCCACCACGACATGATTGGTAGAATAGAAATAAACTATTTTAACTTTAACTTTGACTTCATACGACGAATAGGGATGATGACAGGGTATGAAAATTAAAAATCTAATTAGTCCGTCAGTTAGGTAATGAAAAAATATTAGACACGTATTTTTTTATTTGGTTGTATAACAAAATGATAGATAAAACGAATCAAAGTTTAAGAGTGGGGCTAAAATGTCATTTCTACGTATAAAATGTACACAGAAGTGACGTCACGCGACATTTCAAATCAATATATCGTCGAAAGTATTCGTTTTTGTAAAAAAAATACTTGTGTAATGTTTTATAGTAGTCTACCAGACGGACATTACATACATACATACATAACTTCACGCCTGTCTCCCATGGGGGTAGGCAGAGACTAGGGAACGCCAATTACTACGATACCTACATAAAAATTCATTAAAATAAAAAATTGTCATCTACCCTATTATGGGCCTCCTACAGAAAAAGTTTGTGATCATCTTCAAATTTATCAGGAGGATTGAGGATCGTAATCTCTACACATCTTACCTATTATTTTCTTTACCAACTTGACAACTGTTCCATTAAGTAAGCTTACTAGTTCTATGTGAAATAACGGAATGTTACACTGGAACAACAAGGTAATCCTAAGTCCAGTAGTTATGCCCGAGGTCAGGTCACAAACGTACTGCCATTAAAGTGACGACTTTACTGTCAATAACCTGACAATGTCAACAACAGATATAATTGCATAATAAATAAGTTATACAGTTACATAATACCTGTTCCACTTAATGGTATTCTTTTTTATTGTTCGCATCTTGCCGTCCGGCCGGCATTTGATGTCTCGCCTGTTGGTAAGCGCCTAAGCTAATGGTAAGTAAGGCCTACGATGGTAAGCCGCATCATCGCTTACATCGTGCCATCATTTCTGATAAGAAGAAGAAGATATCCAAGTTATACACACACATACATACATAACATCACCCCTTTTATCCCCGAAGGGGTAGGCAGATGTGTACATTATGCTACTGTGCAATGTAATAGGGTACCTATTTTCACTTTTCACTATTTATGTTATGAGTCCCATGTAATAGGGGGTGAACCTATTGCCATATACCGGGCACAATTCCAGACTCCGTGCTACCAATGAGATATTTTAAAAACCCAGTAGTACCTAGCCCGACCCGGGAACCAAACCCGAGACCCCTTGCCCGGCAGTCGCACTTGCGACCACTCGGCCAATGAGGCAGTCTCAATTTCACAATTGATAATTTTTTATCAATAAAAGTAAGTATGACAAGGCATCATACTTTTCTCGATAAAAATTTATGAGACGTTAATTATATTAAGGTGGTTCAGTGTGCCTTAATAATTAAGTACATCCTTGAAAAGATTTTTTTGAAAAAAAAAACTGTCATTGATAGATTTTTTTTTCTTTTTTAACAATAGAAACCCGTTATATTCTTAGTTACAGAAATTTACACACAGGTGTTTATTTGGAAAGCTTTATTAATACATAGATATCATTAAATGTTTTATCTCGAATACCGTTGTATCTATTAGCTATTATTTTGTGACTCATCTATAGAAATATAATAAAGTTTACAAGTTTGTTCATATCACTGGACTGGGGCAAACGGGTGCTTAGTTTTTTTTATATTTTAAGCGATGCCGATTACTTACCAACGGATTACCTGTTGGTAAGTAATCCACCACGGACACCTGGACCACCAGAGGCGTTACAAGTGCGTTACCACGGGTAACCGAGGCTCCGGCTCGACGTGCAGAAGAAGGAACGGGGTGGTTTTTAGTCAGGGGTGGCTTGAATCAATGAACATTTGAGATAGGATGATTACTAGTGGGGCAGGATGATTAGTAGGTACTTATGTGTGGAAGAACCACCTTTTTTTTTACTTTTCATAGGTTGTCGTTTGGATACCATCTCGCTGGTGGTAAGCGGTGATGTGGCCATCCGGCTCCGACCGGAGTGATACCACGGCCTTACAGAAAATCGACGTGAAACAACGCTTGCGTTGTGTTTGGTCGTGTATGTGATCTCCCTAATCCCTGAATCACCAACCATCCTCAAATTTCTATTCCCCACATTTTTTAAAGGGGGGAAAATCATCGAATGTCTGCTCCCGCCTGGGTGAGGCGGGAGGGAGTGTCAGACTCTTACTGACTAAAAACCACCCCGTTCCTTCTCCTGCACGTCGAGCCGGAGCCCCGATTACCCGTTAGGTTCTCCGCGACTCCGACGATTTTTGTGACTTAGCAACAAACCACTCTCCTAATATATTTCTAGTTTATTATTAAAATATCTAAGTTTTCACCTAGTTAATTTATAAGTTCTAGATTCCATTATGTATCTATATGGACTTAAGTAGCATCTGTCTAGGCTATTTTGTGTAGGTGGGTCTGAAGCTACTGAACTCTGTAGCAGAGATATTTACAGTTTTATTCATAAACAGTCGATAAATCTAATATAGTTGTGGAATTATTTGTCTATAGTAATTTTATTCAAATGTTAGTCATCTTTTATTCGAAGAATAAATAAGTTTTTGATTTTGGTGTATTTTGGTTGTGAATCAAAAACCTATTGGACTAAGATAAAAGCACCTTTAAAACGAAAGGCCTATGTTCAGTATATATCTCAATCACGAACATACTATCTTCTAGTTAGATAAAATATTATCAATCGGTGTCATGTCGTGGTAGCCCGGAGGTTGAAGACGCCTGCTTCTCATGCACGAGCGTGTAAGTTCGAAACCTACCAACGGCAAGTATACTAATGTGACTTTTTCCGAGTTATATGTACTTTCTAAGATTATTTAGACACCACTGACCAACAGTGAAGGAAAACATCGTGAGGAAACCTGGGCTTATAATTTCTAATTATAAGTTTGAAATCGCCAACCCGCATTGAGTAAGCATGGTGATTAATGCACCTTCTCCACACCTTCTCCATGTGAGAAGTGAGAAGAAGCTTTGCTCAGCAGTACATTTATAAGCTATTGATGAGTGTCGGTGTCTATCTAGTGCCTGGCCTAACCGAGTTGGGTTTTTTTTATTTCAAAACTTTCAAGGATTACGTTTCTTAAAATGTTACTCAATATTAGACATGCAATGAACTTACCTCTGGTTAGCATATATTTGAAATTAACACCATATTTTCCCAATCCTCTTTTAAAATGTCTATTTAGGAGAAAATGTTGACTTGCTGCATCTTGATTTTTGACTATGCAGTATGTATGCATTGTATTTCAACACCGGCTCATACAAACTTAGTTTTAGGTGGTTGTATGTATAGGTTAGATGAAATAAAATGATTTTTTGAAGGGGGGAAAATCATCGAATTACTGCTCCCGCCTGGGTGAGGCGGGAGGGAGTGTCAGACTCTTACTGAGTAAAAACCACCCCGTTCCCTTTCCTACGCTTCGAGCCGGAGCCCCGGTAACCCGTTAGTTTCTCCGCGACTCCGAATCGGCATCAGCCCTGTTGGGCCCCATCCGTGGTGGTCTGATGGCTCTCTGAGGCCCGCGCGTGCGATATAAAATGTACTGATCTTGATGAAATAAATGGCACAGAACATAGCATATTTTTTATAAAAAAAGTATCTTTATAGAGTCTATGGCCACACAAGTATAGGTATCTATTATTGTAAATTATAATTTCGCAAATTGCTTAATTAAACCACTCACAATAATCGCGATAATTATGCAATTATGCATGTATAACATGCATAGGGAACAAGGCCATTTTTCCGGGTTTTCCAGAAAGCTAAGTTAATTACAGGCGTGGCTCTAACCACAGAATGAACCTTGACTTGAGAAACATATTGCGACACTTTTATTACTCACTCGAGGTAGGGTCAAGTTCATATTTAATGATATTTATACTAGAAGTACTG